TTTTTTTAAATCTTGATAAGTTAACTAAACTATGTTAATTAGACTTCACAACTCCCATCCGTCAATATATTATGAGAAGTAAAATATATGTGTCAAATTGTTGATGAGTTGTGTAATTTCCCTATGGTTAGATCACGTAAGGCGACTTCGTTTCTGCCCCCAAAACTTTCTTTGGACCTCGTAACTTGTCCTACCTTCTTACTTCGGCGCCCTCAACAAACTAATTAAACCCACGGAATACGGTGACTCACTTCCTTACTACTTAACTCAAACTTTGTTCACGAAATTAATTTAATCGCCTCAACCACACACATGGATTATAATATTTCCCACCCCACCCCCACACCCCCACCCCCACTATAACAACTACTTAACTAATTTGGATAGATTAAAAAAATAAATTAATTATAAAAAATATTATCCAGTTTCTCTAAATTTAAAATATCTCTATGTAATATATTACCTCCAATTCTAAATATAGGAGCTAATTGGAGGTTGTATATAATATTTCAATCCATTTAGTCTTCCAAATTTATAATGTCTTCTCAAAAAATTCCTATTGACGGTAAGGTATTTCCATTCAAATGTAATTTCAATGAACATGATTAAACAAGGGTAAGTAAGGAAATTCAACACATGTTTGTTACAAATAATTAACTTAACTAATTTTTTTTAATTTTCTCAGATTAGTTATCTAGGTTTTATATTAAAAACCAGAGGTAGCATATTAATTTATTAGTCGGTTAAGTTAATTTGAATAAAAATGATAAATAATAGAGAAAATATGGATTAATGTTTTGTATTTAAGATCAAATTTAACACTTCAATTGCCTCGCACATTAAATATCGGAGAAAGGATGCCTTTGGTATGACGGTTTAACGCAACTGAACAAACTGAAACTACCAAGAAATACAGATACGACTCAAAAATCTTGAGTAGAAATCTTGAAATTAAAAGTGTGAATGAGAAAATATGTGAATGAGAAAATTAATTAAACACACACCCACACACACGTAGATGGCAGTCAGTCTCAAATAAAAAAGATGAGATTCAAAGTATTTGTGTATTGAGGAGCACGGCACTGCAAATTCCTTCTAGAACGTATTGGTAAACCAAGTAATCATCCAACGTAGAACCTTGTTAGAGATTAGTGCCAAACAAGGATCGATCTGATCTTGGTTAAGTGACGTCATTCAGTTAGAAATATGAACAAGCTATTGTTAATTTCATATGATATCATGTAACTAAGACGAGTCAAAGATATATCCTTCTTGGCTTCTTCTATATTATATTCTTCTTGTAATCTTCTTTGTGGAACTCATCTTATTAGGTCTAGAAATGTTTTGAATATCTTGCCTTCAGCATCACGCTGAAGTAGTTGCTTAAGTCAGAAATTGTTTTGTGCATTAAATTAATACATGGTGCGCACACATTATAAGAAATAAACATAATTATTTAGTTCTTATAATTTATTTTTTAAATAATGTTAACCTCCTACAATGGTACATTAATTAATGAAGGTATATTTTTAAACGAAATAAAAAAAATTATTGTCAAAACAGTTAACATGTGTGTAGATATTGATGCATGTAGCTAGAAATTAAAAATGTAAGCGAGCCGAATCAAAAATTAATTCAATGATTAATGAAATTAGTTAAAACTAGTTATTTCTTATAAAAATATCAAAATTATTTTCAATAGAAGTTACTAGCTAGGGGAGGTTGGTTAATTAATTAATTAGGAAGTTTTATAATTAGTAAGGGATAGTAACTAAAAAAATTAAATTTTTAAACAAAACATATCATATTATGAGTGTGGAAACATTTCGATGACTAAACTGTTAGATATCCAAAATATTAATGGAAAGCGATGGAGATGAACCTCAAAGTTTCAAGACGCATCCAAACACTTAGTCAAAAACACAAAAGCCCCTAAGTAGCACTTATACAATATGAAAAGGAAATGACAGCTTATGAGGCGAAAGGCGATAGGCTTAATTAATTAGGAACTCAACTCTCGCACGTTTAATTGCAAAACGTCGAAACTTGTGAGTCAGCAACATCAACATGAACTTAAACTTATCGATCACTCCATTGCTAGGAATTCTCAATCCAGAAAATACGGATTTTAATGAAAATTAAACACCTCTTTGCTATTATATGTAAATGTAAATATGTTATTGTAAATAAGACAGAATGATCGATCTCATATACGAAATGAAGAAGAAATGAACAAATTTACAATACAGACATAAGAAAGAAAGAAAGAAAGAAAGAAACAACCAACTGAAGTGCCTGTTTATATGATACATTCACAAGAATGTAATATCAGATATAACTAGAGTGTAACTACCAAAGGAGTTGCAGTTCCTATCCCTAAAATCTCCAAATCGTTCTCAAGCGGAGTCAGGTTTAAGTCTAACAACGGAACCCTTTTGTTCTTCTCTCCTTCGTGTCTGAATCAAACTCTAAACTTGATGGCGAGTTCTTGTTACTGTTATTCTGAGATGTTGGTGGAGCTCTGTGTCTTCTCATATGGCCACCAGAGCCTGACCTATGGCGAACTCCAATCCACAGATTGAGCACTCGTGAGTTTTAGGCTTAGCTGTTAACGAAGCACGAAGAAGATCGTCGCTGCTATTGCTATCTTCACCGGCTATCATCGTCCTGGGCTTCTTGTGGCTGGCACGGTGGCCGCCGAGAGCCTGGAAGGACGAGAACTGGCGGTTACAGGTTTTGCACGCGAAGACGCGGGAGGACGCGGCGGCGGAAGAAGAGAAGGTAGCGGCGGCCTTGGAAAGCAGCATCAAGCAGTTGGCCATGGCGATGCTGTGATCATCGGCGATCTCATGATCTGATCTTTGTCTCTTCATTGAAGAAAAACAAATAATTAGGAAATTGAGAAGAAGAGATAAGAGAGTGGAATTATGGAAGTTTAGGAGGGTTGAAGGGTTGTAATATTTATAGAGAGGTTTGGTTGTTTGGTTGTTACTTGTTTGGTGTATACGGGGACGTAGACCAGTCTCTCACTCCAAACGCTTTTGTCAACCATTATTAGGGTTAGTTGAGTCAAACGCAACCTCTCAATTTAGCTATTCACTTGGTTGGCAAAAAAAAAAAAAAAAAAAAAAAAACCTCTACTTCTATTTATGAGTCCTAATTAGTAATTACAATATATTTTACATGGAACAACATGATTTATATAGACTAAGAAAAATCTTAAATTTTATTAACTCTCATTTAAAATTTAACAATTTTTTAATTTTATTTATATTTAATATATATTATACCTCCTAAAAACAAAGTTAATTGAATAATAAATGAAGGTGAAATTATATATTTTTATGAAAAATTTCTCTATCTACCCTATAAATAGTACAAAAAAGTTTCTTCTTTATACCCTGTAAATAGGAGCAGCAACAAAGTACTCCTCCGATCCTTAATATAAGACTTATTTAACTAATTTGATTAGATTAAGAAAATTAGGTAAGTTAGTTAATTATAAGAAATGTGACACATTTTTCCTAAAACACCATAATCATCTTTCTTAATACTTCCTCTCCCTCTTCTACTTGATTATGATTGATGGAGTATCTATAGAGGTAATTTAGGGAAAATTGATAAATATGAGAAATGGGTCTTATATTTAGAACCAAAACCAACTCAACAATTGGGTCCTATATTAAGGACCGGAGGAGTATTTATTATTTGGCTTAATGGATTTTTTTTTTGTTCTTACATGATTAATTTCTTGAACTAAGAATCAATTATATAATTATAAAATTTATATAATGATAAAATATATACCTCATATTCTGATGACGCACATGCATGTGCAAGCAAAGTGGAGTAGTACTAGTAAGAAGGATGCAGTAAAATGTTTTCTTTGCTTCGTGAAAAGGAGAGGGAAGGATGGCAATTAATGGTTTTTATTAAAGAAAAGGAAAGAACTGCGGCCTCCACGTGTCACTGACGGCGCTCTCCTTCAAACTTTCTAGATTCATTCTTTTCCCATTCCCAACTCCTCTTATTAATTTATTGGAAAAACTAGCTTCATTAATCAATTTTGATATTTATAACTTATATTAATGGTCAATAGTCAATCGTCAATATGGTATGTTGCACGCTTTAGACTGCATGCACTGTAAAAATCTGTTTAATTTTGTAAAATAAAAATATATATATCTATTTAAAAGAATGACCGTAAAATTTTTGAAAAATTTGAAAACAATTTATTAATACAAGATTTTTTTAAAAAATAGTTTTCCCCTCAATTAAATCTTACTACCTCCGGTTCTTAATATAGGACTTTGTTTGACTTTTATTTTGACCTTAAATATAAGGCTCCAATTCACTTTGTCTCTCATTTTTATGTATTTTTTTAAGGTATTCCTTTTAATAATGATAGTTTTAGTCAATACATTTGGTTAGTAAGGATATTTTAAAAAAGACCATTTATTTAGAATCGGAAGAAGTACCATGTAATCTCTAGAAGAGTGTGTGCGCTTGAGATAATTTTTGCGAACGAGATATGTTTGAGTGACGTGTTGGTAGACAAGTGAGAAATAGGAAGGAGCAGTGGAAATCACCTTAATTTTGAATCATCACATCCAAAGTCCAACTTTTGCCCAAAAAAATTGTATGGAATTTGGATCATATCAAGTCATTGATTGGAAGTTTCTAGAATTACACGGACGGTAAGAAAACAAAACTTGGTCGACATAAACTCTAGCTATCAATATAATAAAATAACCACATAATAACCTCCAAGTTGTCACAAGATTGCATTATTTTTCTCCTGACATTTAAATCATGTTCAAACATATGGAACTTTGTGTTTTATAATTCAAAGACAAGTCCGCAACGCAAATTTTAAGGCACCGCTCATGGACTCTTTTTTATTTAATTTGCCAAGTTTGAACCTTTAAACCCAATGCCGGGACCCAGATACTACAGTTCATACGAGGGGAGAATCAAAAGAAGTTAACACACCAAACAAAGACAGTAACATCTCTTTGGTTCAGTAAGTTGATATGAAGCAGGAAGATGAATTTCATACTTTCTCCATTGTATACTGTTGAGAATCTCTGTATTTATGAGCTTATTTAGTAATATGTTAATGATAATGGCAACCATCGAATCGACGAAAATTCAGATAATTGAAACATCCCCTGCAGATTCTATGCTCTCTGGATAATTGAAGTCGTTTGTCGCAGTTGCAGATGCTGATTTTGCTTCCTTAGTGTCTCTGCCTTTTCCCCATAAAACCATGTACAGCCCAGTCACAATCACAGCCGCTCCAACCACCCTGCAACAACTTGAGTTAGTTCATACATAATGCGAAACCAAATTTGCACTAAAACGATATGATGAAAGTCCCCACATAAGTAGGATGGAATGCTTAATGCGGTATTTAAGTGGGTTGGTTCTCCTACTTAACCATAGTTAGCTTTTGGGGTAGAGTGCCCCATATTCCACTTCGTCCCCATAACAAGGATCATACAAGTCCTAATGCATATACCATAACAATTATATTAACAATAATAATTTCTTATCATACAAGTCTTAATGTATACAGCAGATTCTTCACCTTGCAGTGTAGATTTTTTCTGCTAGAACAATTGAGCCCATGATTGTCACAATGATCATGCTTAGGGGGCCGAAAGCAGTCAGGAAAATAGGTCCTTTTGCCTTCAAGATCAGTCCTTGAACATAATAAGCAACTCCTGAGCATATCACTCCCTGCACAGATTCTTATGTCATCTCATAGTCTTAAGTTCTTGTGGAAGTTTCTGATACTACATAATATTAGCGGTTGAATGAAGAATATATCTCACACTGTACACCACAGCTAATAATCTGCAGTCCATGTGGATGGACCACGCTGAAGGATTGTTCCACTCAATCACAAGTGCGCACACTGTACCTTCCACTGCCCCCATCAAGCATATCCAAGCTGCGAGGGAAAGCTCATCTGGGTAGGATTTTAGTAAAATTGCCTGCCAAAACAAAATTTACATCACTTTGGACATTCATAGATTCATCTATCTAATGACTTTATTTTTTAGTACTGACTATGGTTCACCGGAAGAGATTAAGTTAAAATCAGAATGAAAGTTTTAAAAGTTAATGTGATCAAAGACTTGCTTGAAGGGTTACGAAAACAGTCCAGCAGACACAGCACGTTGCTATCATCAGAGAACCATAAATGAGATTATGATCATCTGAAGCACTTTGGGTCTCTTGTTCTGATGAGACTCCTTCTGTCCAAGGCAAATTTAACACTGATCCTTTCACAAGAGTCATCATCATTGCTCCTCCTACAGTTACTGCAGTTCCGAATAACTTTACCTGGCTATTCACTCTCCTAACGTCAACCTTCTCAAGCCTAAGCAACACAGTTCACAGAGTTTATGAGATATGCTTGGAAAGATTCTCCTAATGAATCTAACATCTGCTTATGTCATATCACTGGATTGAGTGAAAGGAATATTACTTTAGAGTCCAAGCCAATAGAAATGCAAAAGCAGGAACAACATTAAACAAAGTGGATGTGAATGCTGCAGTAGTGAGCTTCATCCCAGTGAAGTACAAGTTCTGATCCATGACAGGTCTGCTTGGAAACCAAGAAATTAAACAAAACTGTGAGAAGTAGGTGAGCCTTGCAAAGGAGACTTATAAGTGGAACACTCTTACTCTATTAATGAAAGCAGCATAATCCTTACTAACAACGGAAATGTCATTTTAGGCCTTGGATTTCTGTCAAAACAGCAGTTATTTTCATCAGTAAAGCAATAATGAAAACAAAACTCAGGCACGCGCGCAGAGATCAGTGGAAGACCTATTGCAGAAAGTCGCAAAAGGAGAAATCACAAGGAATGCAAGGGCATGGCGATATGCTACTAGAACATGCTGGCTCAATCCTTGGTCAAGAGCAAATTTTGCTATAATGGACATGCCTGCATACCCAAATTGCAACAAAATTGAAACTAAATAAGGCCATGCCCGTTTCAGCATTTCAACCAAGGGAGCCATAACATGTGTATTAATATTATTTGCACCTACATTTGCCCTTTGGTAGTTTTATATACTGATAGAGGTTCTGATAGATATATGTGAATTGATTTCTTGTGTTACTGCTCTTACTGGTTCAAGCAATACCAGTAAGTAAAGTCCTTGAAGAAAACACTTTGCAAGGAGTAAAGGGAAGAACTTTTACTCTGATGACTAAGGCATTAAGAAATCATGCTCTTAATGAATTTTCTTTAAACGCAACTGATACATTATTAAGGTTAGTTCAGATCAAGCCAAGGTTATAGTGCATATATCAAAGTAATGATTGGTCATAGACAAACCTAGCAAGTAAAAAACCTGTTTAAATAAATGACTCAGATTCACACAATGCAAACTTATATGATGACCAAAAGTTTTGCTACTTTAGGATAGTCCTTCGAAGATTGGTTGTACGAAGATTTTTGTATTATTATCATTAGAGTATTTTTTTGTCGACGCACCATTTGATCAGATGCGCACCCATTTTATAAAGCAGATATAGCCATTATCATATATTAAAGAAAACAAAATTTCTGTGAGAAATGTTGTCTATTTCATTACTGAATGACTGTAGTTGGATTAATTAGGGAACTCCCAATAATGTACGAAAAGCAAAGTTTCCATTTACGAAGATTCAAGCTTTTTAGAAAGGTCTATTATTTCACGTGAATAAATTCTTCTACATAGACGTCTCTCAGATCGTCAAGTTTAGTTTTCTATCACCCTTTTTTTTTTTTCTTGTTTTGTTTTTATTCAATACTTAGGAACTACTTAAATATCGAGACCTATTTGAAGGTTCTGATAAAGAGTATGTGGCCTGGTTTTGATAATGAAATCTTGTCATCAACAAGAAACAAAACGTATTGATCCACCAAAAGTTGCTTCAGCTGCCAATGGTTTTCATAAATTCAAAGAACTTTATGTACAAGATTGCTGATTATGCGCAGATATTTTTACCAAAATATTTTAAAAATAAAAATTTGAGTATTTTACGTCGAAGTGAAATATTACATCTTTAAAATTACCTAAAACAACTAAAAAAAAATGTTTGTTTATCCAAACTGAAGATCTTAGCAGTGTTAAAATAATTCTTATAACACTGATTATATGATATATATCCACACTGTGATACATGATTCATGCTAGGCATATTTGGTCCCAGAAGCATAACATACCAATGGAATATATATTGGTTCTTGAAAAATATCTGGCTTTCAGTTTCACCCTTAAAAATTTGGTGGCTCAGAATGGGTAGTTGATTGGTTGGGAATGGAAGGCTTTGTGAAGAATCTCAGATTGCTGCATTTGATGAATCTTATAGAACCCAGAAGCTGTGGCTGCAGATGGGGCCCTCCCAACATATTTAATGTCTTCCATATTTCCTCTTCCCAATGCTTTCATGCAACTCCATAACCGAGGTAACATGTAGTAATATGCTCCCATGTTCATTGGCTCTTCTTGGCACCAAACTACCTCTGCATCTAAAACATTGTAGCACAGAACAAGAAGATAATGTTAGTTCATGACCTAGAATTTCTGACTAATTACATGTTTCTTCTTTCATGCTACTTGTCTGTCTGTCTTGTGGTTTGGAAACACTTGTACTGTTATTCTTGTTCTTCCAATCTCATACTACTTAACTGAATGGTTAAGAGTTTCTTACTGTTGAGCTTGAAGTTTAATTAAGAGTTAATAAAGCAAGAACATTTTCTGGCGGTAACGTGACATACTTGGATATCTTTTCAATTCTTGCTGAATGAGGTCATATGGGAAGGGACAAAGTTGTTCCACTCTGCAAATTGCAATGTCGTTTCCATGAATCTTTCTCCTCTCTTCATGAAGATCATAATACACCTTCCAAAAAGAAAACAAATTTTTTATCACCAAAAAAAAAAAACAAATTTTTGGCATGTTAATCCTGGCTGTGTCTGAAGATAACTAGAGAAAATAACACTAATTTAAATTGAATGAGCTTAATAATTCAAGAAATGATTTGATGGTTCCGTGTAGAATTGTTTCCTGGAAGGTAATGAAAAAGAAACATTGAAACAGAGAAACAAGAGAAAGCATGCACCTTTCCAGAGCAAAGAATGAGACGTCTAATATCCTTGTTGAGGTCAGAGTGGTTGTTCTGATCCCTTAGAAGGCGCTTAAATCTGGTACCCTCTTCAAACTCACACAAGTTTGATTTGCATTCTTTGTGACGAAGAAGATATTTGGGAGACATTACAATCAGAGGCTTCCTGAATTCCCTATGCATCTTGCATATCGACAATTCCAAAACATTAGCATATCGAAGACCCTTAATTTCAAAACAAGTTTTGTTTGTGTGTCATTGTACCTGGCGCCTTAGAACATGAAAGTAATTAGCAGGAGTTGTGACATTGACCACCTGCCAATTGCATTCTTGAATCTGCTTACTCGCATTTGGATCCATCTCAGGGATAACAAATGGATTCTCATCGCTCATCTGTTATAGAATTTGCCAACTATAGTTTAATAAGTTTAACTCAGTTGATAAGAGAACCAATGTGTGAAAGTGCACTCAAAAGAGAAACTTTGTGTAGCTAAGAAGATGTGAAGAAATGCGTTGGTATTTACCTGAAGAAAGCGTTCCAATCTAGCACTGGAATGCTCAGGACCCTGACCATCATAACCATGAGGAAGCAAGAGAACAAGACCAGTTTGGCGAAGCCACTTTGCCTCCATTGAGCTCAGAAAATTATCAATTATGACTTGACCCCCATTTGCAAAATCCCCAAACTGAGCTTCCCACATCACCAAACTATTAGGGCTTTCCATTGAATATCCCAGTTCAAATCCCATCACACCAAACTCTGAAAGCGGACTGCACACAGATAACTAAGTCATGCATACTCTGAATACTATATTATTGTCTCAGTGATTATGAACTGTTAAATTAATACTCCTCTAGTTCTTAATGTATGACCTAATTAAAGAGTTGATGTTAGTCCTAAGTGTAAGACCTTTTTCACATGTTTTTTAATTTTTTTTCAAATTAATTCTATTGATATTTTTCCAACTATAATCAAGTATGAGAGGGAAGAAGAGAATTAAGAAAGATGCTTAGAGTATCTTAGAAAAAAATATATTATATTAACTAATTCAACTAACATTCTTAATCTACTCAAATTAGTTAATTAGGTTTTACATCAAGGACTATAGGAGTGCTGTATTACCTATTAGTTGCCAAGAAAGTTTCTTGTCTCTGATGTGGAATAACGTGGTCAAGGGGACAATACTTCCGACCAGTTTGTTGATCATGGATTATGGAATGGCGATGACTGAACGTGCCTCTTTCAACATCCTGACCACTCAGACGAATGTGGTGACCTTCTTTTATCAGTGTTGCAAAAGCAAGCGCTTCTGCAAATCCCCAGTCTAGTCCTTCTCTTGTTTCAATCATCTGGGCTCGTTGCTCATAAAACTTCTTCACTGCTTTGTGAGGCGTGAAACTTCCTGGAATTCTTGTAATTGATTTACCTACTTCCTTCAAAATATCTGGTTTCACTCTGAATAACAGCTTTCCCACCTCACATTAGTCTTTCCATTATATGACTCAACGAAGGACTAATAATGTGTAACAAGTTTCTTACTTTCAACAAATAACTTCTGTGTTTGCCACATTTTGAAGAGAAAATCAATAGTTTGAAGTTTACTTAAAGGTTCAAGTTTCTGAAATAAGAAAGGCACAAAAATACACATACCCCGTGTTTCTTATAGAAGAAAGTTGATCAGGAGACTTGATTCCACTCCAATTAGCTGAAAGCCAGTCCCTTCGATCTGGAACATGATCTTTGCTGGCCAAAAATTCTTCATTAAGAGTTGCATTAATCTTATTGTATATACCATCAACCTCTTCCTGTTTCACTACTCCCAAGCCAACGAGTTTCTTCTCATATATCTCAAGAGCTGTTTGTTGATTCTTTATCACCTGCTTACATCCATTCAACTTGTCAATTATTTTTCACTAAATCTTTTTTTAAAATTTCTTGTGATGAATAATGAGTTACTGAACCTTGTACAACATGGGCTGTGTGAAGAAGGGCTCATCAATTTCATTATGACCGAATCTCCGGTAACAGACAACGTCAACCACCGCATCCAAATGGAAAATCTGGCGCCACTCGGCGGCGAGACGACACGCACGAGCGACAGCTTCCATGTCATCCCCATTAACATGAAACACGGGGGCATTAAACGCCTTAGCAATATCAGTACAATACTCAGAAGACCTTCCAGAAACAGGATCAGTAGTGAAGGCAACCTGGTTGTTCAACACGAGGTGCACAGTTCCACCAGTAGAGTAATTAGGAAGAGCACTCAAATGCATATTCTCGTAAGCCACACCTTGCCCAGGCAAGCTCCCATCACCATGAATCAAAATGCTCATGTTTTTTGTTCTGGTTAGATCATTTGAGTAATATTGTTTGGCTCTGGTTTTTCCAGCAACTACGGGATTTACTGCTTCGAGGTGGCTAGGATTGGAAGGGATGGAGATGTGAACTTTTCTGCCGTTAATGGTGGTGTGGTCGTAGGAGGCACCGATGTGGTGCTTGACGTCGCCGGTGCCGGTGAACTGTGTGACGTGGGGTGAATTTAGAGTGCCTTTGAACTCACAGAAGATTCTCCTGAGAGGCAATTTGACGACTGTGCCTAAGGCATTGACTCTTCCTCTGTGGGTTGTGCCCAGAACTACGCTCTCTGCTCCAAAATCTGCAGCTCTGTCTATCACTTCCTGCACGCCTGGAATCAGAGTTTCTGCTCCTTCCAGCCCAAACCTGATTCAGAAGCAAAACAAATATCCACAATAATGCTTTTAAAGCAACTCAAATATAGAATTTATTAAGTAAGATCATAATTTTTGGTCTCTTAAGTACACTTAATAATTCAATTTGATCACTTAAAGTTTGCTTTCTGTTAGATTCATCATTTCATTTCAAAATCATAATTCGCATGTATCATTCTTATTAGGTTCTTCGTATGTATGATTTAACCAAAGGATTAGTCAGGTAGCTATATCTGTATGTGTTATATTATAAAAACTATTTGCAAGGTTTTGAAGACCTCTTAGCAGAAGACCATTTGGTGCCCAAGAAGACTTCAAACATCAAACTCCAAGCAAGCCTGTCTAGAAGCACAAGCCTGTGATGTGGATCTAATTCAACTTTCTCAGCTTCTTGTGTCTCAATCCTGTCTCTTAGCCACTTCACTTTCTCATAATCACTTATGTGCATATACTCATACCCTATGCTCCCACAATAAACATCCTCAAGCCTCCTCACTATCTCTCTCAGTGTCTGAACTGGCCGGTTCTCTGCTAAAAACCCATCAATATTCTTCCACACCCCCACATAAAACTCTCTGTCCAAATCACTCTCAGAAAACCCATAATATGAAGGATCTAACTCTCTTGGTATCTCTCTCTCAGCCAATCCTAAAGGGTCAAGCTTGGCCTTTAGGTGACCATTAACTTGGTAGGCTCTTATTAAAAACATTAGACTCATACTGTCATGGATTGTCGGGGTTGATATCTCAGAAGACATGGTTGGTCTTTTATGGCTAAGGTAATTAGTGAAGAAGATGTCCCAGGAATCATCCACACTTTTGGGGTCAGATTCCCATGATCTTTGAAGCTCTTCTAAGTATGCACTTCCTGTGCCATATAAGAAGCTATCTGTGAGCTTTGAAAGAGGCACTGATGCTGAAGCTTGCTGTACTGCCTTGTGGTTGAAGTTTGTGGTGTGAATCTTTCTGTTCTGCAATGAAAGAAGTTTCCTTCTGATGGTACCATTTTTTGATATGCTTGAAGCAGCTCTAACCCATGAAGCCATGGCTAGCTTTCACAGATCAACCTAACCAGAAAGATTAAATGAGTTCTGGGTCTGAAAATGAAGGTTGAAATCATGAAAGAAAGAAGCAAAAGTTTTATGTACCTGAAGCTAGATGAAGCAGAAATTGATGTGTGCTAGAGAAGATGCTAGAAGAAGTGGAAGAAGAGGGAGTGAACTTATAATGATATTAAAAAAGCAAGTGCCGTGTGGTCCTAATCCTTTGACTGATCCTTTTTTGGGTCATTTTGGCAAAAGTTCAAGGAACTAATCCATAAATTGATAAACTTCAACTTTGCCTGATTTGGAAAGTCACATATTTGGAGATATAGGCTTTTATATGTTCATTAGGATATATTTTCTTTGGACAACGATGGCGGTGTCTGTTAATTTGGGTGAGAATTTTCTGGTAGGCTCAAGAATTTTAAACTTAATACCCAAGTTGATGCCACAGGTTGCATCTTTCATATCTGTCAAAATAATTTTACTGCACTTATATAATTGCAGCTACTTTCTTAAACACATCTTTAATTACATAATTGGAATTTAAAATTTAGAACAAACCAAAATTATTTTTCTAAACTTATAGGGCTAGAGTACAACTAACTTTTATTTTTGACCAATAGTAAAAAAAAAAAAAAGGTCTTTTGCTAGTCTTTCTCTACTAGACAGTAGATTTTTCATAAATTATGAGACGAAAAGCACAGCAGAATCAGTAGATGACAGGTACAAAGATAATTTTAAAATTTGAAATTATTTCGCCCTATCTCACCCTTTCATGGATTCCAAAGGGGCAAGTTGGTGCAGCTGGGACAGATGTCTTGGGATATTTTCTTTTCCCACATTGATGGATTCCACTTAATCTTATTATTATAATATATAAATGTATATATTAGAAAAATTATGAACCTAATCAGTAATCAGTACCACATTCTGCTCTTATCCTTTAAATGAACTCCAAAAAAATTGAATTTGATTCTTATCTCGTTCTCTTCATTTTACTTTCTACTTTCAATATTGCCTCTAATGGAAAACAAATTAATTGCAATGTGTGTGTATCAAAGAAAGCTGCCCCTTTTTTTATTTTTTATTTTTTGGTTATACAGAAGAAAACTGGCGTTTTTAGAAGTTATATGTGTAAAATATTAAAATTAACTTGAAGGTGTTGGAACAAAGTAGTTAAGTGATGTGATTGTGTGAATTAGACAAATATGAACAAGTCCAAAGGGGAAGTCACGAGTGGCTGTCCATTCAAAGAAGCGTAGCTGACATGGACACCTGTGTCTGTTGCTCTGTGCTTCACATATAATTATAAAAGAGCACGTACCTCTTAATCCCATTCAAGTGTCCCCACTTTCCACGTAACATTTATGTACAATTACTTCCATTCTGTAAATATTCTAGTCCACACGCCACCGTAATATATTTTATATATAAGATTTATTTCATAAAGTACATAATACATTATTTTCAGTTTTAAATATAATATCTATTTATAATATAAATTTATACTACAAAATAGATTTTATATTTAGAATTAAATGTAATTCAAGAGTCTTGTTCTAATGACTCTTTTGCTCGGGCGTTACTTTTTGAAAAAAAAAGTTGCTCACACTCTAAACACTCATTCTCTTCTTTCTTTCTTTCTTTTTTTCCCCACAAACCAAGAAATCAAGAATGGTCATCTTGCCATGTTGACATTTGTGACATTTCTTGGTTATTGGTTGAAAAATGAAAATTAAAAGAGCTACGTGACCGACAAGAATAATCTAATGTAATATGTTTGGCATGTAAAAGGGTGTTTTTCTTACAAAAGAAAAAGAAAATAGTAAATGCAACTATCCCATTTCGGAGGTTTTTTTTTAAAAAAAAAAAAATCAAAACACTTTCTCAAGTCAAGCATGGCTTAAATACATACTATTGCAATAATTATAGAGAAAAAGACAGAAGGGTCGTAGTCAACAAATTCAAATACGCAATTAAGTAGGATAGTTTATAATGGTGATGAAAATGAAGCCTTGGTACAATTATTGAACAGTGTCCCTATTCTCCCTCTTCATCTTTATCCCTCCAATGACGCTACTTGATAGTTCACCTGATTATATTCAAATCCCTATTTATATACTATGAAACATTTATAACTCCCACAAACCAACACAGATCATCTTAAAGGTTCCTTCTCATCAACTACTTATCTATCTCGAGCATCACACGGGATGATTGCCATTTGTTTAAAATAAACAAAAAAATCAACAAGAAATTATTTTCATTTGTTGGATACAAAATGTTAACCAAGCCCCAGATGCCATACTGGAAGTTAAAAAAAAAAAAAAGAGAGAGAAATAGTTAATCTCATTTATTGGAGACAAGTTCCAGAGGCTGCCCTACCAAGCAATGCCTCCAAACATCACAAGTCAAAAAAACTCTTCAAAGATGATATATTTGTAAACTATATATGATATTTTGGGGAGGAAAAAAATTGAAGTATCATCAGAATCTTCAACTTATAAGGCAGCAGCAAACCTGCGCATTTTCCAGAACTAGTACCCACAAAGTGATATATTATGATGAAATTAAGCTTATCCCAAGTTTTTGTCAAAAGTAGCGCGCCCACACGTGAAATATGCAAATATTGAGATAGAGGCCACCTTCCAAATAGTGCTATCACTATTGATGCATCTTTGCCGCCTTTCAGTAAGGGAAGCTAATTGGTTCGCGTTGAATGGCCTTCTGAACAAGCTCAGCCTGCTCCTTTAGATGAACCTTGTAGAAACCAGTAGCTGTGGCTGCAGATGGAGCTCGACCGACATATTTAGCATCCTCATACCCTCCCCTACCAACTGCCTTCATGGCGGTTATAAGTCGTGGTAAAATATATGTATACCCACCCATGTTCATTGGCTCTTCTTGGCACCAAACGACCTCAGCATCTAGCAGGATAAACAACAGATGTAACACAGACAAATATGAAGGAGAAAATAAGTGTTTCTTTCAGTGATCAGTAGCATCATAAGGATTCATTAAAAAAAGCAGCTGAAAAATATTTTTCCTTACTTGGATATCGTTTAAGCTCTCTCTGTACAAGGTCGTAAGGGAAAGGACAAAGTTGCTCCACCCTACAAATTGCAACATCTTTTCCGTCTGCCTTCTTTCGTTCGTCATCAAGTTCATAGTAAAGCTGCCATGGAAATAAGATATGGATGGCTGTAAACTACATATAAGGAACAAAATTGGATACAGGATGTAAATGTTACGAAGTTATGTGACCAGAACACCAGATGTAGTTCTTATATAAAAAGCGTATAGCACATGTGCAAGGACAGCAAGTCCCAATCATGACCAACAAACCTTTCCAGAACAGAGGACCAGACGTCTAATACCCTCCTCAAGGTCTGAGTGGTCATTCTGGTCTTTGATGAGGCGCTTAAATCTTGTTCCCTGTTTATCAAAACCTGGGTGGCCTTGGACATCATCAAACTCAGATAAGTTTGATTTGCAATCCTTGTGACGAAGCAGGTTCTTAGGAGACATTACGATGAGGGGTTTGCGGAATTCTCTGTTTATCTGCAAGAGGGAGTAGAAAAACGTGAGCAAATGAAGAAACAGTAACATTCATAATTCAATCAATTGCATTGCACCAACCTGCCGCCGCAGAACATGGAAGAAATTGGCAGGAGTTGTGACATTCACAATCTGCCAATTACACTCTTGAATTTGTTTACGAAGGGTTGGATCCATCTCAGGAATAACATAAGGATTGTCATCAGCCATCTGCCATTTAGTTAGCGAATACACATTAATTAAACAGCAAATCCAGATTATCAGAAAGGCCACATGCAACCAGACTAAGGTCTTCTTTGTTTAATGGAATGGAAAGGAAAATGGAACAAAATTAAAAAAAAAAAAAAATCAGATGATCACCACTTCCTCATTTTTTTATCTCATAAATCAACTAACCAACAGACGGGCACAAGGAAGACAACTAACTATCCAAAGTTAGAAAAAAGGATCAAGCATAAGGATCAGATGCATAAAATTGGTATTAAGAAGCTAAACTAGAAGATTGACAACAGAGAGTACCTGAAGATAGCGTTCCATCCTGCCACTTGAATGTTCAGGACCCTGACCATCGTAACCATGAGGAAGAAGCACAACAAGCCCAGTCTGACGAAGCCACTTGGCCTCACCCGAACTCACAAAATTGTCAAATATCACTTGAGCCCCATTAGCAAAGTCACCAAATTGAGCCTCCCAGATTACTAACGAATTAGGATTTTCCATTGAGTAACCCACTTCAAATCCAAGTACACCAAACTCAGAAAGAGAGCTGCATTAAGAGCCAATTTAAAATTGTTTTAATGCGGAAAAGTAACCCAAAAAAAATGTCTATAGAAGCTAGAGTAGTGTCAATGGGTGAAAATGCAACAATAGTATCACAAGCCCCAATTTAACAATAGCAAGAAACATGAACCCAAAAATTACCACTCACAAGAAGAAACAACTGCGATATATTTACCATAACTTATTTAGATGATACTCAAATAGAAACACCTTCCTCACATGCACAGTTGACAGTTCACAGATGACTACCCATGAATTTCTTAACTGTAATTCATGTGACAAAGATTCTCCTTGAACTAGATATTACCACTAATTCTTTGTATGGAATGACAAGTAGCCCTTACATTTGTAACGAAATAAAATAGATACTGTAACCTACTGTATAGCAACAACAAATTACATCTTCACTAGCGTTAGAAAAGAAATATGCTAACTGATATAATAATTATTTGGTGATCAAAACTTAGACATAAAACAAAGATTACCTGTTGCTAACAGTAAACATCTCCTCATTTTGGTTCATTATAACATGATCCAACGGGCAATATATCTGCCCAGTTTCCTGATCATGAACTACAGCATGGCGGTGACTAAATGTTCCTCTTTCAACATCTTGGCCACTCAAGCGAACATGGTTACCTTCAACAAGCAATGTAGCAAAAGCAAGTGCCTCTGCAAATCCCCAGTCAATACCCTCACCAGTTTCCATCATTTGGGCACGTTGTTCATAAATCTTCTTCACTGCTCTATGAGGAGTGAAATTTTCAGGTAAGGTTGTGATTGCTTTCCCAACATTTTTCAAGATCTCTGGTTTCACACTGCATCATAA